AATGATATGAGTTGAGCTGACGTTTCCATTGAATTTCACATAGCTTTGCTTTCCCAAAAGTTGTTCTTATACAGGGTGGACTGCAGTTTCGATCTCACCTAAGTCTTATTAGCACCCCCAACTGGAGTCGAACTGCGACAGTGTATCATGTGAGCTTGACGCGCTAACCACTAAGCCACATTGCCATAAATGGCCTCATCTCATAAAACTAATTTACTGGCAGTCTAGAAAATCTACTTACATACGAAAAATAAGTAATGTAATCTATTGTAATAGCAAAAATACGTTTGCTTTGTCAACAATCCAACCAAAGAATGTGATATGGGAAAAAGCCTGGCCACCCTTAAAATTCACATCGCCCTGTGACCCAAGGGCACTTGTGGGAATGTGGCCAAGTGGTTAACGTGTCAGGCTCATATGCCTCATTGTCATGGTTCGACTCCTGTTGGGGGTGTCGATAAGACCTATGCGAGGTCGAAACTGCAGTCCACCCTGGATGAGAACAACTTTTGGGAAAGCAAGGCTATGCGAAATTCAATGGAGACGTCAGCTCTACTAATATCATTGTGCAAAATTCTACTACCAGCCTTTAATTACCTTAAACGAAATAAGTTAAATACATCTCATAGATACATATGGCTGTTTTATTTCCGGCAAAATGTAAACTCACCAAAAATAAAGTAGGTATTTGCGATTTAAAGAGGCATAACGCTTTCTAGAGAGATCAGATACGTGCAATATTCTCTGAAAAAGAAAAGAAACATCTTAATTATGCATTTATGAGAGCTTAATTAAAAATAAGAAGCTAGGATTCTTGATAGAGCATGATAGTGCGATTCAAATGAACAAATAAAAGTATCATCCAAAATAAAAATTTGCCCGAAAAACATGAAATGGTGAGAAAGGAATCGCCCTATATTCTTAAGGTGGAGTTTTAAGACTTTAATATATTAGTGAAGTATGTTTCGGTTAAGATATAACAATTTCCTGCTTTACAGATCTAGCAGACGAATAGGCTGCCAAGTTTGGAAATATTTGCCAAAAAGTTGCTTATGATCACTTCCCGTGATGAAAGGGCAGAATGGATGCCAGCTGAAGGGGATATGAAGAGACAGTTAACATACTTAATAAACCATCAGTTTAACCATGTTTTTACGCTTTATATCTGATCCGTTTTCGCGCAAATGTAAATCCGCCTGCAATTACAGGAAGGTAAACCAGGATGAATAAGCATCCTGCTTATCAAAACTTGTTCACGCTGTAAGATAGATAGATTAATTTTCCAAAATTCAAGTAATAAAGTAATTATATCAAATGAATATATATATGTATATATATAAAGAGAGAGATAGAGAGAGACCCAGTCACATACAATAGCTAAAACCTAGTTGAGACATTTATGAGCTGGCTCTAGGAGCAAATAATCGTTATGAAATTATTATTTATGATGGATAGTTCATTCTAATCAATTATCATTAAACAATCAAAGATTCATGATCTTAAGAACCATTTTCTTTTTTTCGCTACAGATTCATTCATAAAACATTATTCTAATACCATTATATGAAGTGGATGGTCTGTCTGAGTCCATGTATGCACTCAAATGAATGAGCTTAGCTCTTTCCTACCGTGAACTCCACTTGTCCGCCGATTAAGGGCAGATCTTCGGCCTCCTCAACTCTAGCGCCAGCTGAGGTATTACGTTGATAGGACTTTTCATCATGCATCATCTCTTCTGCCTCTCCTGAAAGGAAGTCACCAGCGGGTCGGACTGATGGTAAAAAGTTGGGTTTGTCACAAACGTTATCTCCAGGGCAAAAACCGACATCGTCCAAACAACCAAAATCATGTACAGCAAGTCGATCAATATGAAGAGTAGTTAGTCTCCGATCTCCCATTAACGTTCCACTAACCGATGTCATAGTCCCAGCCTCCAAGGCCTGTTCGAGAAGTCCTTCCTCTTGTTCGAGTTTGGGAGAAGTCTCATGACTATTGGACGGGCCTGAGATAGGATTGACTGCACTCCGATGACACCTTGTCGAGGCAATAATAGGCAAAGGACGAAAAGAGGGCATAATTTTTGAGTCCGTGGGTTGATCCGCTGTCTTTTCAGCCCCGATTTGAAGGCAATGAAGTAAGCAGGCAGAATTTTCCGTGGAATCGACTTCTTGGTTGGCTAGCTCGTTACAGCACGTTTTCGTGCTACTTGTCTTGCTGCCTTTGCCATTATGTGTACCGAAAGAGACAGTCATGCCAACCTGGCTAGAGCTACCAGCACCATTACTGATGCCACTATTATTACAGTAACTCTGGTGGTGCGCGCTTCGAAACTGAGGGGGATTGGCCTTATAATCGGTGAGCTGGCTTATTGACGGTGAGTCGGAATTTTGCCAAGGTCGATGTCTATGAAATGGCTGGGGAATAGATTGGGCTGAAGGGACTGACGGAAGGAGATGCCATCTGTCATTAGAAGGGCCATTAGGATTTTGTCTTGCTTGCTCAGAAATGATTGTGCGACCAAGCCTGGATCCAATAAGGCGCTCTTCGTCAAAATGCTTCCTAAACCGATGACTTTCTAGATTCTCCTCTTCGTCCTCATCCTCGTCAGTAGAATCGAAGAGACCTCGCTGACGATGTCTAAAGTTCTAAAATCAAGTTTATAAACGAAGATAATAAACGCTAAGAAAAGTTTGGTTTCGAGGAATCTCTTATTTCATTATTGTTGGGCTTACTTCAATTTCGAGTGTTTAGTGAAGGGATTTGAAGGTCGATCCCATCAGAAAACGACGGCGGATTCCTATTTATCAAGTGTCGATTGCCTTTACTGGAACATTCTTTTTGACACTGCTTCTGAGGTAATTTCCTCCGATTTATATGAAAGTGTGCTAAGTTTTCGTCCGTCGTATGACGGGCATCATCAGAGCAGGGTATCTTCCTTACAACCATATCAAAGCTGAGTCAAGAAAACTCACCGCCTCATCCCTAAAATGCTGTATATACTCTATATCTGACCTCTTTGATGAGGTACAAAGTGATTCCTTTGGCTCTAGTCATATATCAGAGTCGGAGCATGTGTGTCTGTCTCTGTATCTGCTATGGAGGCACATATACATACGAAGACAGTTATGCTCACATTCTCCGAGGTTGAAATATGACTGGAATTAACCAAATCACTCTATACCTCATCAAAAAACTCAGATATAGTGTATATACAGCGTTTTAAGGATTAGCCGGTGGGTATTCTTGACTTATTAGATTGAATATGGTTATGAGGATGATACCCTGCTCTGATGATGTCCGTCATACGACGGACGGAAGCTTAGCAAACTTTTATCGAAATCGGAGGAGATTACCTCGGAAACAGCGTCAAAAAGAATTTTCCAGTCAACCGACAGCTGGTAAAGAGGAATCCGTCGTCGTCTTCTGGTGGGTTAGACCTTCCATTATAATAGAGCCAGTTGTTAGGTAAATACAATTTTAAAGAGCGTATATAAAAAGATCAAGATGGTGTAGTTTTTTGTTTGTTCGCAGTCCCCTTTAGCTACATAGTATTGGTTTAAACTCGTTTCTAAATTTAGTCAGAATAACAGGGATACCTTGTAAGACGTGCCTAGTCCTGCGTCCTCTTGCATAATGCTAATGATTTCCAGATTCGAGCCGTTGACTTGGTACATTCCCAGATGCCGGCATCGTAGTTGGCATCCTCAGTGAGAGACGCCATCGTTAGAACAGTTACGGCTTATCAGTCAGAAATAAAAGCAATCCCGTTGACCAATTTCCTTTTCAACAGTTTAATCACCACTCGTCACTATTTTTGTCCTACGCTATATTGCTGTATCTCTCTCTTAGCCCAACTTCATATGACCCATTTATCAATTCACATAATTTTGTGCACTGATTTCCTCCAATGTCGCCTAAAGTAGAGTAAGTGAAGCATAAACACTTTCATCACCAGTTTCAGATGCCGTTTACGGGGTTTCTGGATTATAGTTTCTGTGCGTGTGCGTGTTTGCATGCATTTTTTGTGTAGTCCTCTAACGAGAGATGACTCTATACATGCCTGACTAGAACCTTAGGATTAAGTGGATGGGGAGGTGGGCTAAATAAGTCAGAAGCAATGACCAAGAATCCCTGCAAACGTCAGCCGAAGCCGGTGGTGAAGCTGATTACGCTTCATTAAATCCACATGAAGTGACACATTCTTAGACGAAATTTGGGTAAACGAGAGATAAATGGGACATACGAAGTGGGATTGAGACAAAGAAATGCAGCGCTAAAAGGTAGAACAAAATTAGAGGTGAGGGGTAATGCTATAAAGAGTAAAAAGGAAATTGGTCAAGGGGATTGTCTTCCCTTGTCACTTTGACCATTTGTAACTCTGTGCTAACGATGGCGTCTCTGACTGAGGATGCAGACTACTATGCCAGCGAAACTTTCGGGTATGTACCAGATCAATGGTCCGACGATGAAAATAATTAATACTATGGCCAAGGACACAGGATTAGGTACGTCACACATGGTCTCCTTATTGTCCCGACCAAGTTGCGAAAACGAGGTAAAACCAAAATTTTTGTTTCAAAATCCAAAATTAACGCCCTTCACACTGCCTTATAATAATAGACCACAAAAGAATTTCAGAATATCTTCAAGACTCATTTAGTTGGTTCAAAGATGTAATAGACATCAGTGTAAACATAAGTGTCCATGGATGTTTAATAAATACTGCTTCTACTTTAGTTCATTCTTAATGCTTAGTAATCTCTGCCTAACTTTAGTTTTATATCCTGATTCTCTCTGGGAAGGTCAGTAAATGTAACCTAAGTGACTCACTCTAGTCGGCCTTTGTTCCACAGCAAACAATGTGGAGTCATCCGAAGTTACTTGGGCACCACGGGAGCCAACGCCGAATAGTGCCAATGGGGCCAAAAGTCTTGCTAAATGCGGCTTAGACCAAAGGCGATTTTGATTTATGAAAACTGAGGAATTAGCTTCTGGTCCGACCTCGGACTTGATTAATAGTTCAGGCCGCAATAATGCAGCATCTTCATTGTCAACGACTGCC